GAGAGAATGTAATGTAACATTGGGTCAAATTCACTGCTCGGAGAGAATGTGATGTTAAAATGGGTCAAATTCACTGCTCGGAGAGAATGTGATGTAACCATGGGGCAAATTCACTACACGGAGAGAATGTGATGTATAATCTGATGCAGCCATGGGTCAAATTCACTACTCGGAGAGAATGTGATGTAACCATGGGCCAAATTCACTGCTCGGAGAGAATGTGATGCAACCATGGGTCAAATTCACTGCTCGGAAACCATGGGTCAAATTCACTGCTCGGATAGAATGTAATGTAACCATGGGTCAAATTCACTGCTCAGAGAGAATGTGATGTTACAATGGGTCAAATTCACTACACGGAGAGAATGTGTTGTAACGATAGGTCAAATTCACTACACGGAGAGAATGGGTCAAATTCACTGCTCGGAGAGAACGTGATGTAACAATGGGTCAAATTCACTGCTCGGATAGAATGTAATGTAACCATGGGTCAAATTCACTGCTCAGAGAGAATGTGATGTTACAATGGGTCAAATTCACTGCTCGGAGAGAATGGGATGTAATTATGGGTCAAATTCACTGCTCGAAGAGAATGTGATGTAACCATTGGTTAAATTTACTACACGGAGAGAATGAGACGTAACCATTGGTTAAATTCACTACACGTAGAGAATGTGATGTAACCATTGGTTAAATTAACTACACGGAGAGAATGAGACGTAACCATTGGTTAAATTCACTACACGGAGAGAAATTCACTGCTCGGATATAATCTGATGCAGCCATGGGTCAAATTCACTACTCGGAGAGAATGTGATGTAACCATGGGTAAAATTCACTGCTCGGAGAGAATGTGATGCAACCATGGGTCAAATTCACTGCTCGGAAACCATGGGTCAAATTCACTGCTCGGATAGAATGTAATGTAACCATGGGTCAAATTCACTGCTCTGCAAGAATGTAATGTAACATTGGGTCAAATTCGCTGCTCGGAGAGAATGTGATGTTAAAATGGGTCAAATTCACTGCTTGGAGAGAATGTGATGTAACCATGGGTCAAGTTCACTGCTCGGAGAGAAGGTGATGTAATTATGGGTCAAATTCACTGCTCGAAGAGAATGTGATGTAACCATTGGTTAAATTAACTACACGGAGAGAATGAGACGTAACCATTGGTTAAATTCACTACACGTAGAGAATGTGATGTAACCATTGGTTAAATTTACTACACGGAGAGAATGAGACGTAACCATTGGTTAAATTCACTACACGGAGAAAATGTGGTGTAACCATTGGTTAAATTCACTACACGGAGAGAAATTCACTGCTCGGATATAATCTGATGCAGCCATGGGTCAAATTCACTACTCGGAGAGAATGTGATGTAACCATGGGCCAAATTCACTGCTCGGAGAGAATGTGATGTTACAATGGGTCAAATTCACTACACGGAGAGAATGTGATGTATAATCTGATGCAGCCATGGGTCAAATTCACTACTCGGAGAGAATGTGATGTAACCATGGGCCAAATTCACTGCTCGGAGAGAATGTGATGTTAAAATGGGTCAAATTCACTGCTTGGAGAGAATGTGATGTAACCATGGGTCAAGTTCACTGCTCGGAGAGAAGGTGATGTAATTATGGGTCAAATTCACTGCTCGAAGAGAATGTGATGTAACCATTGGTTAAATTCACCACACGGAGAGAATGTGATGTAACCATGGGTAAAATTCACTGCTCGGAGAGAATGTGATGTTACCATGGGTCAAATTCACTGCTCGGAGAGAATGTAATGTAACATTGGGCCAAATTCACTGCTCGGAGAGAATGTGATGTTACAATGGGTCAAATTCACTGCTCGGAGAGAATGTGGTGTAACCATGGGTCAAATTCACTGCTCTGCAAGAATGTAATGTAACATTGGGTCAAATTCACTGCTCGGAGAGAACGTGATGTAACAATGGGTCAAATTCACTGCTCAGAGAGAATGTGATGTTACAATGGGTCAAATTCACTACACGGAGAGAATGGGTCAAATTCACTGCTCGGAGAGAATGGGATGTAATTATGGGTCAAATTCACTGCTCGAAGAGAATGTGATGTAACCATTGGTTAAATTAACTACACGGAGAGAATGAGACGTAACCATTGGTTAAATTCACTACACGTAGAGAATGTGATGTAACCATTGGTTAAATTAACTACACGGAGAGAATGAGACGTAACCATTGGTTAAATTCACTACACGTAGAGAATGTGATGTAACCATTGGTTAAATTAACTACACGGAGAGAATGAGACGTAACCATTGGTTAAATTCACTACACGTAGAGAATGTGATGTAACCATTGGTTAAATTTACTACACGGAGAGAATGAGACGTAACCATTGGTTAAATTCACTACACGTAGAGAATGTGATGTAACCATTGGTTAAATTCACTAGATGGGGAGAATGTGATGTAACCATTGGTTAAATTTACTACACGGAGAGAATGAGACGTAACCATTGGTTAAATTCACTACACGTAGAGAATGTGATGTAACCATTGGTTAAATTCACTAGACGGGGAGAATGTGATGTACCATTGGTTAAATTCACTACACGGAGAAAATGTGGTGTAACCATTGGTTAAATTCACTACACGTAGAGAATGTGATGTAACCATTGGTTAAATTTACTACACGGAGAGAATGAGACGTAACCATTGGTTAAATTCACTACACGTAGAGAATGTGATGTAACCATTGGTTAAATTAACTACACGGAGAGAATGAGACGTAACCATTGGTTAAATTCACTACACGTAGAGAATGTGATGTAACCATTGGTTAAATTAACTACACGGAGAGAATGAGACGTAACCATTGGTTAAATTCACTACACGTAGAGAATGTGATGTAACCATTGGTTAAATTAACTACACGGAGAGAATGAGACGTAACCATTGGTTAAATTCACTACACGGAGAGAATGTGATGTAACCATGGGTCAAATTCACTGCTCGGAGAGAATGTGATGTAATTATGGGTCAAATTCACTGCTCGAAGAGAATGTGATGTAACCATTGGTTAAATTCACTACACGGAGAGAATGTGACGTAACCATTGGTTAAATTCACTACACGGAGACAAAGTGGGGTCACCAGAGTCAGATTCATCATTCAAAGACGGTGTGAGTCGACAAATGGTCAGACTAATAACAGAAAAATGTATGGCTACCAGGGTTCAAGTTGTTTTATTAGCAACAAATTCAAGAGGCCAAGGGATCATATTAACATATCACGACATTGATACCTAATGTGCCCATACCGGCGCCGCTTTCCACTCAACGTTATTTGCAACACTTTCGGGTGTATGTGATCCCATGAACGAATGCCTGAGCCAAATACTTTATATAAATTACAAATTTTGCGTTTCCTGGTGAAAAAGCAGCATATAATGGAACACAAATCAGAATTGTTTTACTGGAAAAACAATCGACATAATTGCAACGTAACATTTCACTGCACAGTTGCCGCAGTTTAAAAACGGTTTAAGACCGCGACTACACCAGGTTTAGTAAATAAAATGTCGCGTGGTCGTGTTTTTTTATTGCAACAAAGTGAAAATTCGACAACACGAGATGGCCGTAATTAGCTACCATAGTTTTGTCCATGTGTATACTATACTAAAGTTCAACAGAACGAGGAGACCGTATCTAAAGTGTTCTGACACAGGATAACGTCAGTACACACAAACAGGAACATTAGTAGGAAAATCGGTCTTTTAAATGGCATGTAATTCAATAAAGGTGTTTTTATAGAAGGATTCAATGTGTCAATTATAAACTGTGTTTTGACTAACTGTCGGCTATGGACACACGGACACATTATAGTAAGAATACTGAGGTAGTAACAATGTCTTTCAGAAGCACGTTTAGAAGCAAAGCAAGTCAGGATTGCGTTCCATAAAATCCTGCTTTTTCACAAAGACATGAGTGACCTCTACATTGTTATTTCCAACGCTAACTGGATTAGAGTTGTATCTCAGACATGTGTACATGGTATCCCATATACCCTTCAGTGTTTCTACAAAGGAACCAATGAAAGCACTCTTGATTGTCCAAAATACTTTCCATCTGTCTCCCAGACTTAAAGAACAGAATGAAATTCCAGAAGAAGGGCCTGTATAACAATTGGTGTGGGAAGCGAACGCCCTATTCTTGATTTCTGAACACGTAGCGCTGACCCAAGGACGTAGCACAGGCACCAACCCTACCTGTAAACACTTCCTGACCGCGTCAACCCATTGTTGTCCGTCTACAGACGTAAGGATAAAGCTCCCTCAGACAGTCCCGATACCAGGAACAGTTTGTAATGCACGATATTTCGTAGGGGAGGGCTATGGTCACAGGCAACATATGTTATCCCCAATTCGAACCATATCGTTAATGCGTCCAGTTTTATGTAGAAGGGTTAAGTGTAGTATTATGTCTGTGATTTCCATTTAACCAAATGTAAATGAGTCTGACGGTGGAAAGTTGAAGTGTAGTATTGCAACACTTTGAATGCTATTTAAAAAAAGTCTGTGTATCAAGTACAACTCAGTTTTATTTCAGTTTCATTAAAATTGAAAAAACACAAATCGGTATTAAATGGTTCCTTTCAAACTTTTATCATACAAAATAGGTCACTCGTTGTCCATTTTGAAAGGTTGTTCCATAGCACACCACTAGGTCACCTTCGACACGAAACATAACACTTGAGAAAATCGATATCGATAAATGTTTTTGTGCGCTAACAACTAAACGATGTTGTTTTTTACGTGATATTAAATCAGATTGTTCTGTTGATTACTATTTGTAGGCTTTTATGTACTTCATTTTTATAGCTTAACTGTATTGCATTGCTGCTGTTTTCTCGGTATTACTTTATCGTTATCTCGCTGTTACTGTTTACTTTTCAGACGGCTATAGTATATATGCACAGCCACACTTCCTGGTAGTTTTCTTCCTGATTTGAACATGGCAGGTGTTTTCACATCTACGCTTCTTCTTCTTCTGTTAAGCAAATGCTTTGCTGTCATATCAGGGGCATGTAATAGTGCTTACGGACCTGCAGGCGGATATGAATGTGTGGCATTGTCAAAGTACAATGGAATTCCTCAATGGGCAACTTGTTTGACGGACACCTACATACAAGCAAAGTCAAAGAGTATGGGGAAGAGTCATCAATGCGAGAATAGGTCGGCAACTTAATGTTATTACCAGTGTATGTGCGAGATGAATGACAAATGTAACGGCCCAGACGTCTATAGTAACTGTTCCTGTGATCCTAACCGTCCACAAACACAAATAGAAACGACGGCCATGTCACCACGACCAACATTACCGCCCTGGTGTTTCAGTCCCGACGGTCAAACATGTTCCTGGTATCGGGAGTGTCTGGAGGAGAGGTATCATTGCGAGGGAACGGATGCAGCGTACGCCATTAGCTACGCCGAAAAGTTCTGTGATCTGTACTCGAACCACTACCGGTCATTTTCTGTAGACGGACAACAATGGATTGACGCGGTCAGGAAGTGTTTACAGGTAGGGTTGGTGCCTGTGTTACGTCCTTGGGTCAGCGCTACGTGTTCAGAAATCAAGAATAGGGCGTTCGCTTCCCACACCAATTGTTATACAGGCCCGTCTTCTGGGATCTCATTCTGTTCTTTAAGTCTGGGAGACAGATGGAAAGTATTTTGGACAATCAAGAGTGCTTTCATTGGTTCCTTTGTAGAAACACTGAAGGGTATATGGGATACCATGTACAAATGTCTGAGATACAACTCTAATCCAGTTAGCGTTGGAAATAACAATGTAGAGGTCACTCATATCTTTGTGAAAAAGCAGGATTTTATGGAACGCAATCCTGACGAATTTGCTGGAAAAGCAATCGATTACATTGCAGTAAATGAGAAATGGGACTTAAAAGCAATGACTTGGTTTAGCTACAGTGGCTTACCAAACAATGACACCGGTCGCTTGTCAGATTTCCGTATAGACGTCATACTTGCTTCTAAACGTGCTTTTGACCTGAACGCCCCTAACGCCATCGATGTAAACACAACAGAAACTGTGATGTCATTCGCAAATTCGGTCCGAAATGGTCAGATCCGATTGACGGTGGATGGTGCTCGAGTTGATGTTCTGTCTATGGAGGCCTGCGCTGACATTGAATGTAGCCGTACATTCATCGAGGTGGTGGCACCGGTTAACACAGGAACAAGACCCAAGATATCAGGAATCTTCGTCCTCATTGTCGGCGTTTTAAGCTTTGTTTATAGAAAGTTTTAACTATTAGCAGTGTATGTGTACACATTGTTGATTTGAACTACCTGTGCGATGTTGGAGGAAACGTTCCATGACTAACATATGTCTACCCGAAAGATGACACTTTTTAGTAAAATATTGATGTATATGAAACTAAAGTATTAGCTCGAGAAATAGTTGATCCATTTTTATTCAGGAAGACAGAACCCATTTTGTTTTTTCTATTGCACGGTGTATATCCTACACGTGGTGAATAGAACAAGAAATACCATGTTTGTAAATTAAATGGGCCCTGAAAGTGATGGCTTGCTATTTTGACATATAAGCAAAAATTCGATAAAGATCTTGGTTTCTAAACATAACATATAAATAAATAGCAACGAACGGAGATTTATACTTTCGTAGCTTTTCTTAATGCAAGATGTCCGCTTGACCATAACCGACAGCAGTAAAGTTAAAAATGAATGTTCTATAAACTTTTCTATAAAATACTTTTGTTTAATTATATGGTTTTTAAAAGACCGTTTCTCTACTATATTCATTGTTTTGTTCCCTGATGTTACCATGTGTTTATATATCATTGTCACCCTTCTGAGTAATTCATAATGATAACCCTGTACTTTTGGCAGCTTTACTGTTGCCTAAAACTTAACTTTACTACATTAAGATTGGCAAAGAAATACGATTTTTTTTTATTAATGACTTAAGTTATACTGCGTTCTTATTACAGTTAAGTTTGAAAAAGAAACAGTGTCAAACATTCCAGTATATACATGCTTATCAAAATTAATACTTGGACAATCAGCAGGACTTTTTTATTACTTCTTAATTTGCAATTGAGTTTTATTCATTTGACTTTTAGATGCTAAAATGATTCAGATATTAAAATCAATATTTAACATATGCGACTAAAGAAGGATATTGATTTTGTTTACAAACAAAACTGAACCTTACACGGATCAAGCGAATCACCAATCTTCACTATTACTTCACATGGTCAGAATTCTTTACACTATAATCACTTAAGTATGCAACTACGGGGTGCAACGACAATCTACCAGCATTTATACATGTACACCATGCATCGAAAGATGAACACCCATGCATGCTAAGCAGCTGTGCCGCGAAACAGAACTCGATTTAAAATATATATAAATGGTCCATAGCAAATGGACACATTCTTTTTTTCTGTGTTGTCACATTTTAATGGTTATCTGCTTAGCTCCAATTGAGTTGGCTGGGCATCAAGAAAGATCACGGGAAATAAAAAGACATGCTTTGTAGGTTGTTTGTAACATCTTTTACTTATGCCCGTTTGTGTTGCCGTGAAAAGAAGTTTGATATGTCAGACAACTCCTTTAATTTTAATGTTTGAGCAAAACGACAGTCGTATTTTCCCTTCGTTTTAAAGCATTGTTTATCCACATTTGTAATGGAATTATTTATAGAATACAAATTTATTTATATATCAGGCAACAACGTGATGTAATGATTTAACAAGGCAGCAAGACAAAAATGTAAAGATAATACGTTTTTGTTATTTTTGAACGTTTTAGCTGTTTCAAACTGCATTGCTATTCGCCCTAAATGAAGCTCGAACATAACGTGTCAGTTCAGGCTAGAACATCAATAACAATAACGTTATCTATTTACAAAAAGATAAATCTGAGCGTTATCACCTCTGAAGGATACAGATATGACGTAAGATTGGCCTTACAGTTAACGCCACGTGTTCCAGTCGACCACCTACACGTTTGATTGTAGTTTTGACTATGGGTACATTTCTATTATCCATTCTTGTACTTCTTTTCACATTATTTAAGCTAATATCGGGACAGTGTTTTGGTGATTCAGGCCCGTCTGGAGCATACGGGTGTGTTAAACTGTCTACGTATCATACATTTCCACAGTGGGCCACGTGCCTGACAAACGACTACATACGAGCCAGATCACGTGGTAGAGGAAAACATCACGAATGTGTCGATAGTCCCGACACCTATTGTTGGTACCAGTGTATGTGCGAGACGTATGACGAATGCGACGGCGCCGACGTTTATGGAGATTGTGTCTGTGATCCAACAAAACCGGATACAGCGACGTGGCCAAAGCCTTCTCTACCGTCCTGGTGTTTTAGTCCTGATGGCAAAACATGTTCCTGGTACGGTGACTGTCTCCGACAACTTTATCCATGTGCGGACACTGACGCAGAGCACGCCATAACCTACGCCGACGTGTTCTGTGAACTGTACTCGGTCCACCAACTATCATTTGCTATGTCAGGCCAACAATGGATAGATGGCGTAAGGACGTGTTTGCAGCTCGATCTCGTACCGATATTCCGTCCCTGGTCTAACGTAACGTGCGAAGGGATCGAAAAACAAGCGTTTGCATCTCACGCCAAGTGCTATGAGAGGCCAACTACACATGCCTCTTTTTGTTCTCTTAACTTGGGCGACCAGTTGAAGATATTTTGGACTATAAAGGGTGCATTTACCAATGCATTCGTTGAGCCAGTAAAAGATCTATGGGATGTATTGTCCGACTGCTTGAAACACAGAAAATATCGAGCCGATCCTGAGGATTACTATACCGCTTTGATACAAATATTTGTGAGGAAGCAGATGTTCGTAAATGACAACACCGACAGATATGCGGGTCAAATTATTGATCTTATTGCAAAGCAACAGAAATGGGAACAATCGGGTATCGCTTGGTTTGGTTATAAAGGAATGTTAAATAGAGCAACGGGCAATGAAGACAGCACAAATACTGTTAAACCAGTCGTCTTGGACAGCGTTCCCAAAGTTCGGGTTGACATTTTACTTGCCGTTAAACATGTTTTCGACCTCAATCATCAAAATTCCTTTTCAGTTAATATGACTGATATTGTCTTATCACTCGCACATTCGATGGAATGGGGAGTGATGTTGTTGGAACCAGATGTACCTGTGGAAGTCCTGTCTATGAATGTATGTGGCGATATCAATTGTAACTCTGCATTCCTTACAGTTACATCGCCGCTATATAATGATTATACATCAGTAAGTGCAGGAGACATGTTCAGGACGCGACCATGGTTAGAAGCAATAGTGGCAATATTCCATTTTTATTTAGGGAAGTACCAGTTTTGATTAGTCGAAAGTGAAACAAAATCGTAAGGAACATGAAGATTGCCATAACAGAATCGTCTGATGCGAAGTAAAATAGTACCTATCGATACATTGGCTGCGATCTTTGTTAACATTAGACGTAAGTAAAAAAATCATCAACATATTTTATGCATGTTGTCAGAATTAATCTGTGAATAAAAGATTCATTAAACTATATATAAATTGAATACTTCTGAAAAAATTCTCGAGTCCAAAATGTAACCAAAACACAGATGTTTTCATCATATCCGTTACACTCGTTTTGTTTACTTTAATATTACATTGTTATAGTGTGTGTAACACAAAGCTAAACCAAGACCTACCATCATGTTATAATCTAAAACTCTACTAACTTGTCTAGAAAAACACCATGTACAATTTCGGCTAACAAGCAGTATCACGTAAGACACTGACAGATTTAGAAACGGTTAACAACTACCCAGAGGAAAATAGAAAAGCATCATAATTCATTGCTATTACGAAAACTAGGAAGATATTCAGTAGAAAGATTTGTGTAGGTTTGGTTCCTTCTGATTTTGTCGGAAGGGATATAGATCGAAAGGGATTATGCTATTATCAACATTAAGAAGTTTTGAACATTCTGTGAAAGTTCACCAGTGGAATATCTCATCCAAAAGGTGAATGTCTAAATATAATAAAAAATATATGTAATAAATAAGGCTACCTGTCTTATGTGAGCTCTTAGTAGATAACAAATTAATAATACGACGTTAATCTATGGCACTATCGGTGTGAGCAAGTCTTATTTACCAGTGTCTTAAATGTACACATCGACACATCAGTCTGTACACATCGACACACCAGTCTGTACACATCGACACATCAGTCTGTTCACATCGACACATCAGTCTGTTCACATCGACACATCAGTCTGTTCACATCGACAAATCAGTCTGTACACATCGACCACACCAGTCTGTACACATCGACATACCAGTCTGTACACATCGACACATCAGTCTGGACACATCGACAAATCAGTCTGTACACATCGACCACACCAGTTTGTACACATCGACATACCAGTCTGTACACATCGACACATCAGACTGTACACATCGACAAATCAGTCTGTACACATCGACACATCAGGCTGTACACATCGACACAACAGTCTGTACACATCGTCACACCAGTCTGTACACATCGACAAATCAGTCTGCACACATCGACACATCAGTCTGTACACATCGACACAACAGTCTGTACACATCGTCACACCAGTCTGTACACATCGACAAATCAGTCTGAACACATCGACACACCAGTCTGTACACATCGACACACCAGTCTGTTCACATCGACACTTCAGTCTGTACACATCGACACATCGGTCTGTACACATCGACACATCAGGCTGTAAACATCGAAACATCATTCTGTACACCTCGACACATCAGTCTGTACACATTGACACATCAGTCTGTACACATCGACCCACCAGTCTGTACACGTCAGTCTGTACACATCGACACATCGGTCTGTACACATCGACACACCAGCCTGTACACATCGACACATCAGTATGTACACATCGACACATCAGTCTTTACACATCGACACACCAGTCTGTAGACATCGACACACTAGTCTGTACACATCGACTAGTCTGTACACATCGACACACTAGTCTGTACACATCGACTAGTCTGTACACATCGACACATCATTCTGTACACATCGACACACCAGGCTGTACACATCGACACACCAGCCTGTACACATCGACACATCAGTATGTACACATCGAAACACCAGTCTGTACACATCGACATATCAGTCTGTACACATCGACACAACAGCCTGTACACATCGACACATCAGTCTTTACACATCGACACACCAGTCTGTTCACATCGACACATCATTCTCTACACATCGACACATCAGTCTGTAGACATCGACACACCAGTCTGTACAACATCAGTCTGTACACATCGACACTACACATCGACAAATCAGTCTGAACACATCCACACACCAGTCTGTACACATCGACATATCAGTCTGTACACATCGACACACTAGTCTGTACACATCGACTAGTCTGTACACATCGACACACTAGTCTGTACACATCGACTAGTCTGTACACATCGACACACCATTCTGTACAAATCGACACACCAGTCTGTTCACATCGACACACCAGTCTGCTCACAACGACCCACCAGGTACACATCGACACATCAGTATGTTCACATCGACACATCAGTCTGTTCCCATCGACAAGTCTGTACACATCGACACACCAATCTGTACACATCGACACATCAGTATGTTCACATCGACACATCAGTCTGTTCACATCGACAGATCAGTCTGTACACATCGACACATCGGTCTGTACACATCGACACACCAGTCTGCACACATCGACACATCAGTCTGTACGCATCGACACACCAGTCTGTACACATCCACACCCCAGTCTGTACACATCGACACGTCAGTCTGTACACATCGACACGCCAGTCTGTTCACATCGACACATCAGGTCGGTACACATCGACACACCAGTCTGTACACTTCGACACATCAGTCTGTACACATCGTCACACCAGTCTGTACACATCGTCAAATCAGTCTGAACACATCGACACATCAGTCTGTACTCATTGACACAACAGTCTATACACATCGACACACCAGTCTGTAGACATCGACACACTAGTCTGTACACATCGACACACCAATCTGTACACATCGACACATCAGTTTGTACACATCGACACATTAGGCTATACACATCGACACATCAGTCTGTCCACATCGACACAACAGTCTGTACACATCGACTCACCAATCTGTACACATAGTCACATCAGTCTGTACACATCGACATACCAGTCTGTACACATCGACACATTAGTCTGTACACATCGACACATCAGACTGTACACATCGACACATTAGTCTGTACACATCGACACACCAGGCTGTACACATCGACACACCAGTCTGCACACATCGACACATCAGTCTGTAGACATCGACACACCAGTCTGTACACTTCGACACATCAGTCTGTACACATCCACACATCAGTCTGTACTCATCGACACGCCTGTCTGTTCACTTCGACACATCAGTCTGTTCACATAGTCTGTACACATCGACACATCACACATCGACACATCAGTCTGTAAGTCTGTACACATCGACACATCAGTACACATCAGTCTGTACACATCGATACACCAGTCTGTACACATCGACACTTCAGTCTGTACACATCGACACATCGGTCTGTACACATCGACACACCAGACTGTACACATCGACACTTCAGTCTGTACACATCGACCCATCAGTCTGTAAACATCG